GTTACGTAATCAGATTACTTTTTTCAAGTAACTAGTAAAAGTAACGCATTACTTTTTAATTTACAAGAGAATATCTGAGTTTATTTAAAGAAATATTTTTTTCAAATAAGTTACTTTTTTTCTCCAATTTATTGACTGACGGCTCTCCTGTCCCCATGCTGAGAGAAATCAGAAGATGTTACTGTAGTTCTAAAATAAATATGAATACGCATTAATTCATCTCACTCACAAAAAAAACACAGATTCAGTATTCCTCAAAATGAATAAAAATCATGCAACTCAGAATATGACGCAAACCTGCAATAACTAAATGTTAAACACAAATATGCTTTATGTATTTAATCCCACTCTATTAGCTTCTGAGCTTCGATGATGCAGTTCAAGCGTACTAATAATCACTAATTACTCTAGACAACATTTGTGTGTGTTTGTTTATTGCTGAAGTGTGTTGAAATGTCTACTTCTGTATTCTACTGTACTTTCCCTTCAGCCTTATTGAGGCTTATTCATTTCACTTCTGGTGTGAAAAGGCTTTTATATTCGCCAAAAATATAACTTTTTTATTTTAAAAACAAACAAGCAAGCCCTATCCAGATTTAAAACGTAATATAACGCATTACTTTCCATAAAAAGTAACTAAGTACCGTAATTAGTTACTTTTTTTTAAGGAGTAACGCAATATTGTAATGCATTACTTTTAAAAGTAACTTTCCCCGACACTGGTTGCTCCTCCTTTCTCATTTGCAGAGTTGCTACAAGTGCAGGTGGATTTTGCTGAAAAGTGAAGCACTCGGGGAAAGCTTTGCAGGTGATGTGTGTGACGTCACTAATATCTGTAGATCAGATTTGTGTGCTCTCTCGTTACCTTTAGGAAGAGTTTCTGTGTGCTCATGAGGTTGGTGGCCTGGTACACTGTGGCAAACGCTCCCTGTCCAAGAACGAAGTCCACTCGCAGCGACTCTCCAGCTGAGGGAGAGAGGCACATGGAGACACATTGAGCTCAGTAACAGGAAGTGAAGCACAGTAACAGGAAGTGAGGCATTATGTGAGGAGATCTGTATAGCAGGGATGTGCAGCACTCAGATCTGATTGGAGAGCAGACAGAACACATTCAAACGCTCACATTTACTTTCAATCATTGTAAGGAAGTCAAATTAAACAACATACTATTGAATACACGGTCAGTGTAGGGTTTAATAATTACGTTATAATAACTTAAAATGTAAACATCGGAATCAGCCCCGAAATAAAATATTATGCAGATATACCTTGCCGATAAGACCAATAACTCACATGTGCTCAGGGTGTGCTAGCGATAAGATCACGTCAGCAGTGTGGTCATTCATAAAGCAAACTTTTGCCTGAATGGTGATTAGATTTAGATTAATTAGGGATGCACTATATATCGGTATCGCCCGATAAATGTACATTTTTTGGTTATCGGTAAGAAATTTTGGCCGATATATTAAAGCCGATAATAATGCATAATTTCCTTCGGAGCCGCTTTAGATGCACACTGTTCGCCATGATGGTTTTTAACTGCTTGAAATACTGAATCACTTCGAAAAGGAAAATACAATGAACTGCAACATGTGCAGGGCAAGTCTGTCATATTATAATGAGATTAGCTACTGTAAAATAATGCTATGGAATCTTTGTTCGCCCGTGTTTAAGCGCGTTGTAACGTGAAGAGCACATCCACAACGGAGCTACACCTTCATGACTAGCACAGTTAGCTTCGCTTGTGCATTTACAGACTTTTGTGCAAATGTACGTTGTAATATTGTGTTTATTTTATGCATATAAATCTGAATGAGTTAGGTTAAGCTAATGGAGGGTTAATAGAGCGCTTGAGTTTACGGGTGATCATCTTTAGTTCAGCGCATGCAGCAGTGCACAACATTAATAACTATGATTGGGATTGTCATATATATAACACTACAATGAAATCACTATCATAATAAAACGTTGTGAATTATTTTGGTTCGGTTTCCGTGCTTCAGCGTGTTGTTACGGGAAGAGCGCATCCACAACAGAAGTCACACATTTTGATTAGCATGTTTAACTTAGTTCGAGTTCACTTGTGCATTTGTCTTTTTGTGCATATATGTAATATGCTTATGTTGTATTAATATCCGATTAATTTAATATATTATCGGTTTCCTTGAGTGAAATATAAGCTGGCAGCACTTCAGCTCACCGGTTCATTCAGCTCTTTAGCTTCAGCGCACGCAGCTTGAACAGCAATGCACAACATTAATAACTATAATTGGGAATGTCATAACATACATAACATTATAAAGAGAATATCGTAAAAAAAATGTATTGTGAAAGTGCACGTCCAAAATTTACACATCTGACTAGCGCATAACTTAGTTCAAGATCGCTTGTGCATTTGCATCTTTTTGTGCATATATAAGTTATAACATTATATTTATGTTGTATAAAGATCTGATTCTCATACAGCTTAATTAACCCGCTAACAAAGTGCTTCAGTTTACTGGTTTTCATTCAGCTCTTCAGCAACAGAAATGCTGCCATTTGAAACAGTGGTAATTTAAGATACTTAAATACTTTTCAAAATCATTGATACATTATTAATAACCACCACTTTTATTTTGTATCTTATTATTTTCGTCAACAATATGGTTTAATTAAAATAATTTCATTATTGTTGGTGCGGAGCTTACTCCGTTTAATTTATCCACGGCACATTATTTTTGATTTATTTATTTTTTACACATAAGTAATGTTGTCCAGTGACTTGTTTGCATTATTTAAACATTATTTTATTTATTTGTAAGGCTGCTTTGTGTTTGATTTATGTTGAAGTCACCTTTTAATGGTGAGACTTTTTTGGTAATTAGGTTCTCAAATTATATAAAAATTTGAATTTAGATTTACTGGCCAACATATCGGTTATTGGCTTTCATATATAAAGAATTATCGGTTATCGGTATCAGCCAAAATTTTCATATCGGAGCACCCTTAAGATTTATTCAATGTATATGTATTTTTTTCCAAACGGGTTTTGAAAACAAATACAAGGAGCTCTAAAATATTTTCAGAATTTTTACAACTCTTTTGCTTTAGACCATCTACAAATGTTAACTCTTCAAATAAAATGTTAAAGTTGCTGCTGCATCAGTCTAAAAAAAATAAAATTGCAGTGATTGAAAAGAACTATAAATCAAAGCTTTGAAAGTACTCTCATTACAAAATATTCATTATTGTTTATTTATTTCTAACAAGTACATTTTTTTGTTAAAAACAATTTGTTTATAATCTCTGCACAAGTGAGACTTGGTGTTGTTTCCAAACAAAATGAAATATATCGGTATCGGCATCAGCTATCGGCAAAATCCAATATCGTGCATCCCTATTAATTATCAAAAACAGTAACATCTGTAAAAATTGTAACCTCATTTTTATATGGTAAACTTAATTATTCTGACTGTTTGGAGTTTTACTAACATTAACTATTGTTCTTCCATAGTAGCATACATTCAGATCATGATAACCACAGTTAAAGCCACACATACAGCACCTCAATCCCATGGTAAAAAATATTATATGGTTTCTAGGTATTTTTTTAATAAAAAACAGCAGTCAAAATACATTTAGTATAAATGCACAAACGCTATAACTTAAATCACAAAAAACACGAATTATATTAATTTACTCTTTTAATATATTTAAAACATGTCTACATTAATAATATAATTCTATATGAATATCCCACTGTGATGAGGAAAATTACATCACAATAATCATTATCGTTTTATCACCCAGCCCTACTTCTGATATTGTAACTCTACACAGCTGGTTGAATTTCTGCAAACTTCTCCTTTAATTCCCAGAGAATGCTGCAACTTACCCCAAAGACTTTAAAATGGATCAATCAACATGAAACTGCTTATAGAAGGGATCTGTGCAAGTAAACAGCACTGAAACGGGAGATTAGCGAGACCTACCAATCTGGACGGTCATTTTGGGCGTGATGGCGGGCAGGCGACAGCTCCAGGCGGTGAGGTTGGGGTTGGAGGAGAGAGGAGGCTGCAGGCTGGAGAGCAGAGACATGATCAGCTCCTCATCCCAGGGGTCTGACAGCAGCTGGACACAGACTGCAGAAACAAGCACATGATGAGCGCCTCGCAGGAAACACGGCGAAGCCTTTGTGTGCAGTGCATTATAAAGCCACATGTGAGATCAAATCTGAACAGGCTGCATTACCTGCTCTGGATGTGTCCATCGGGCTCATGGGGGCATCTGGGGTCCGGGAGCTCTGCGGTGGGCTGGCCATGACATCCAAATCTGGTTCACTCGGCTTCTGTGGGCTGTCGGCGCAGAACCAGCCTAGACCTGGACTCCTGGGCTCCTCCTGAGCCGGTTTAAGGGCTTGCTTTGGACTCATTAAGAGAGATTCATGCAACGCCTGCAGCGCTTTTACCCCTGATTTCCGCCGCTGGAATGATTTCTTGGGAAGCAGAACATCTACTTCCTCGTGTGCTGAGAGCACATCTGAATTCTGCCCCACTGGTTCTGGGATTGTCTCCCACAGGAAGTCCGTTTCGGGAGCTTCCTCGGGGCTCTGGTGGATGGTCCAGGACACTCCAGAGACCGCAGGAGGACTCTTCATGACATCAAGATCTGGCTCTGCTGCGTGCGTCGAGCTGTTCATCTGGAGCCAGTGCGGTCTCGGGGCGGCTTTCGGACTCGTGAGGACATCTTGCTCATGGAAGACATCCTGGTTCTCTTCCAGTGGCTTTTTCCCTGACTTGCGCCTGTGAAAGGACCTCTTCGGCAAGAGAACATCAACAACTGTCGCTGGGAGTGTGGGCTCTTTCTCTGGGCTCTGATAAACGCTCCAGCTAGGTCTGGTGCTGCTCCTCATGGACTCGTCGTGTGCCCTCAGGGCTGTGTTGTCAGGGAAGGACAGGGCAGCCAGAGGATGTCTGCTGCTGCTGCAAGTGCTTTGGCTGTGTTGGGCCAGAGAAAGCCCTTGACTCGGCTGAGCTAATGACACTCCTTCCCCAACAATAGTGCCCTGAGCATGCATGCTGCACTCCGCCAGCTCTGACGGCTTCTCCTCCGCTGGACTCTGCTCCATGATTGGACTGCAGGCAAACCAGACACTGGCCCATCAGCTACAAGACACACTGGCTCATACAGCAACTAAAGACGACTCAACACCAGCACTACATGCGGTTTGTTTTTGAGAAACTAAACACACTTCAAACAGTAGTATGATACTAGCGATGCACAAATTTCAGCAACCAAAAATTTTCATCTGAAACAGTTAATTCTTCCGTCATCCGAGAACCGGTAAAAAATATAGAATCAATTCTGTGATAACTTGTGTCATGTTGTTTATTTGATTCGTTGTCCCTGTGGTCTAGGCTATGCTGGTAAAACATCACGTCAACTTAAAGAGTTAGTGAACAAGAATTCTATTAGGAGAAAAGATGTGAATTATCCAGTTGCAGCCCATTTCCTTGCCCAAAACAATGTTTTGACCTTACGCTTTTGTGGGATTGAAAGGGTTAATATGCCACCTAGAGGAGGAGATACTGAATTACTCTTACAGCGACCCGAGCGGTTTTGGATTTTTACCCTTCAGACTTTATCTCCTTTAGGCATGAACGATGAAGCACTGTTTAATGTGATGTTATAATACATGCGATTTCATTCTTCCGTCATCCGAGAACTGGTAAAAAATATAGAATCAATTCTGTGATAACTTGTGTCATGTTGTTTATTTGATTCGTTGTCCCTGTGGTCTAGGCTATGCTGGTAAAACATCACGTCAACTTAAAGAGTTAGTGAACACAAGAATTCTATTAGGAGAAAAGATGTGAATTATCCAGTTGCAGCCCATTTCCTTGCCCAAAACAATGTTTTGACCTTACGCTTTTGTGGGATTGAAAGGGTTAATATGCCACCTAGAGGAGGAGATACTGAATTACTCTTACAGCGACCCGAGCGGTTTTGGATTTTTACCCATCAGACTTTATCTCCTTTAGGCATGAACGATGAAGCACTGTTTAATGTGATGTTATAATACATGCGATTTTTGAGTGCATATGAATATAATTATATATTTTTTGATTGATGTTGATTATGTACCCAGTCAGTGTGGGTTATTACTAAGCGATGGTCCTTTGCAGAGATTGGTCAGGATTTCTTTTTAAATATGGTTATGCTTGTAATTTCATGTTTGAAGATACCTGATGAAGGTCATGCGAACGAAACATTATTAAACATTTTGATACTTTTTGCCCAAATTGTTTTCTTTATCCTTTAGTTTTGATCTTTTTGGTCTTTGTCTCCTACGCACCTATCAATTGCCGTCAGGTGTGCAGAGATTGATTGTTCATTTACATCTGAAGCGGTTAACAAATAGACTGAAGGCTGAGATCAATGACAGAAACAGTGATGTTTAATTAGCATTTCTCCAACGGTGCATTTTGACTGTCAGTGTCTATTTTGTGCAGGTAAACATGTCAGCTGTGTATGAAGCTAGTGCTGAATCATATTGATTTCTCATTTTTAATGGAATCATATGATATGTATTCATTCAAAGAAACAGAACAACTTACAGAGATTAAACATCTCTCATGTAAACGCTCAATCAGTGTTTCAACCACAGAAAGACGTCAGTATAACAGCTTGAGAACAATAGTCACGTAACATCACATTTATCTCAGGAAAGACATTCAATGACCATAAATTCAATAGTTTGAAAAATAAATAAATAACTCTAGAGAGGGGATTTTGATAAATATATGCACTATATTACATATTCATTATATTTTCACTTTACTTGTTCATTATTTTATGTATGTTTGAATAAATCTGTCATGAAAAGTTATTACAGCCAGTGTTTAAATGTTTATATTTCAACAAGCTGGAGTAGAAACATAATTCTGTTATTAAAAAGTTAATATAAAACTTGTGCCTTATGTGCAAATTAAATGTTTGCACAATTGAAGTTTTTATTAGAGTCCTTATTAAATAGATTTGTTTAATCAACTGTTTAATAAATACAATTTATTTTTGCTTTCACTTTTTGGCCAAGTGCATCCTGAATTTTTGGTTTCAGCCCAGAATTTATTTCGGTGCATCGTTACATGATTTTTATGATAATTCAGCGAGTGGGATGCAGTCATCATAGTTTTAGGAAAAAAATCATTCACTTTTTTTTAATTCTAATTCTATGCAAAAATGTTTAGCATAGCATATTACTTCAACATTCTGCAGTATCCACCTTAATTTTAACATAATGGACATATGCATTTGTAAGTCTTCCAGCGTCATTTTACCAGTCCAAAAACAGTTTTATTTACTTACAAACAGTTTTGCTTTTATTATCTTTTTGCTAAACAAATAAAGCCAACTTATATGATTCGTATTCTTTTGGTTACTCTGCCCAAGGTTTTTGAAAATTACAAATGCAATTAAAATACAGGCATCTCTAATCAGTAAAAGTACAAAAAAAGTAGTGCTGTCAAACGATTAATCGCATCCAAAATAAAAGATTGTTTACATAATATATGTGTGCGCACTGTGTATATTTATTATGTATATATAAATACACACACACATACAGCATATATCTTGAACATATTTACATGTATATATTTATATAATTTATATTATATAAACAATATATTTTTCTTAAATATATACGTGCATATATGTGTATTTATATATACATAATAAGTATACACAATGCACACACATATGTGACCCTGGAGCACAAAACAAGTCATAATTGACTTTTTCGAAATTGACTTTTTAATTGACAATTTCGAAATTGAGATGTATGCATCATCTGAAAGCTGAATAAACTATCTTTCCATTGATGTATGGTTTGTTAAACGAGGAATTTGTTTTCTAACCAGCAGCACGCCGTTGCTTCAAAAGCCAAGCGAAGAGACAAAAATAACAACTCGGCTGTCACTATCAATTTGAAGGGGTGCTTCACTGCTGCTTCAATATATATATATATATCCTTTCAAATGGTTTTTGCGATTATTCTTCGAAATATTAAATGATTTAACAGCTTGGGTCACAAAGGTCATTACGGCCTCTCATCTACATCACCAACTTACAATTAAAGCATTTAGTGTATTTTTCATCTTTAAGCATTAGAAAATAATGAAGAGTGTTGTCTGAAACCTATAGCTGAGAAAAAGTACTTCATGGCAGCAGGGTTTCATTCCGCTTCGGTCTTGTTTGCCGTTTGTGGTTTCTCATATGCAAAAGAAATGGCAGCGCTTAAAGTTGGGCAGCATGGTCGTGGCACCAGTGCAACCACTAAAAATTAGTCGCACCGGCAACAACAAAAAAGGTTGCAAAATTGAGCCCTGGATCATAATTTTTAAAGGAGAGTTCTAATGCCATTTCATGCATTCTGCCATTTCAGTGATGAATGTTTTATAAACAAATTAAATAACATTTAAGTCCGTGAAGTTTTCGTTCCTGTTTTATTGATTTCAGAGAGAATCTGTCTTCTATAAATCTGACCAAACTAAAGACTCTACAGAGATATGAAGGATGCTCTAATACTCTATAGATACTCAAGATTAACACAAGATTGGCAGAAACTGTGTTATGTACTTTTAAAAGAGACACAGCAGAACTGCTGTCATTTAGAAATGAGGTCGAATGGTGTTTGAATCGAGACCAATGTTTTAATGAATTGTGCAGCTCTAATTAAATTAATTAGGTATGCGCAGGTACAAGGCTGGAGCTTGTGTGTGTGGGACATACTGATTCTGCAGCTCTTCTCAAAGCTGTCCTCCGGCTGAACAGTGCTGTTGAACATGGACTCCTGGAGGAGGGTGGGAGCCTGAAACATGTCCATGATCACACCTACAGAACAACACACATCAAGCACAGCATCCACACGTAAACACAGCATGAACTCAGAGTGTGTGTGTGCGCTCTTACCCAAAGCCTCACGCGTGTTGACAGTGGGGGAAGGGAGAGCACGGGACGGTGTGGCATGAGCGTAACCCAGAGATGTGTTTGGAGTGACATGAGAGTGATTGAACCCGCCACATGACACTAAGAGAGAGAGCGAGAGAGCGAGAGAGAGCGAGAGAGAGCGAGAGAGTGAGTGCACATACAGCAGCTGTACGGAGCAGTGTGCACATGAGGAGATATACTCACTGTCTGCGTTTGCATCCACATCACCCTGATCACACGAGTCACTACAGACAGAGAAACACACGTTACAATGACTTCTGTGCATCAAATAATCATGACTACCATCACAACAGCTTGTGCTTCAGTCTCATCTTTGCCAAGCATTCTTACTCTTTCACATGAAGTGCATTCAGCTTCGGTCCAGAAACAAACATGTCAAAACGTTTACTAATATTTCAGCACATTTGGTGGTTTTATGCTTCACATGAGCACTTGAGAACTCAGAGCTCATACAGCGTGTCAAACAGGTGAAGCACATCAGAAAGTGATCGCAATGATGACTAAAATAATCGCTTTGAAAGATTTGTTATAGGAATATTTCAAATGCTATACGCAGCACAAGTAATGATGTTCATGAGAACAGTAACTAACAGGATAAGAAACAAGAAACAAACTCATCCTAATCTTTGATGGCCTGAAGGTGAGCACATTTTCATCGCCCCTGAGCAAACGCAGCGGTCTCGGGACAGATGATGATGTTGTGTGGCTGACACTCACGTCTCTCTGGTGTCAGGGACAGCGCAGCAGCTGCTCTGGATCAGGGATGTGCTGGGATCCCGCAGCACTGCTGTGCTCTCTATCTGTCCCAGCAGACTCTCTCTAGATCCACTCACGCTCTCGGGTCGAGAGCCGCAGGCTGCACTGGGTAACGGAGCGGTCAGTGGATGGCTTGTTTCTGCCACACTGCTGTTCCACTTCCCAGCATGCCCTGCGGAGTGCTCCGTCTGAAGCTGCAGGCCTGTCTGCCCTCCGTTCTCCTGCTCATCTCTGTCCTGGTATATCATGAATGGAGTTGCGCTGAGAGCTTTAACACATGAGGGGGCGCTGCCTGAACAACACAGGACGACAATCAGAGCACATTCTCAGAATCAGAATGAGTTTTATTGCCAGGTATGTTTACACATACGAGGAATTTGTTTTCTAACCAGCAGCATGCCGTTGCTTCAAAAGCCAAGCGAAGAGACAAAAATAACAACTCGGCTGTCACTATCAATTTGAAGGGGTGCTTCACTGCTGCTTCAATATATATATATATATCCTTTCAAATGGTTTCTGCGATTATTCTTCGAAATATTAAATGATTTAACAGCTTGGGTCACAAAGGTCATTACGGCCTCTCATCTACATGACCAACTTACAATTAAAGCATTTAGTGTATTTTTCATCTTTAAGCATTAGAAAATAATGAAGAGTGTTGTCTGAAACCTATAGCTGAGAAAAAGTACTTCGTGGCAGCAGGGTTTCATTCCGCTTCGGTCTTGTTTGCCGTTTGTGGTTTCTCATATGCAAAAGAAATGGCAGCGCTTAAAGTTGGGCAGCATGGTCGTGGCACCAGTGCAACCACTAAAAATTAGTCGCACCGGCAACAACAAAAAAGGTTGCAAAATTGAGCCCTGGATCATAATTTTTAAAGTAGAGTTCTAATGCCATTTCATGCATTCTGCCATTTCAGTGATGAATGTTTTATAAACAAATTAAATAACATTTAAGTCCGTGAAGTTTTCGTTCCTGTTTTATTGATTTCAGAGAGAATCTGTCTTCTATAAATCTGATCAAACTAAAGACTCTACAGAGATAGGATGAAGGATGCTCTAATACTCTATAGATACACGAGATTGGCAGAAACTGTGTTATGTACTTTTAAAAGAGACACAGCAGAACTGCTGTCATTTAGAAATGAGGTCGAATGGTGTTTGAATCGAGACCAATGTTTTAATGAATTGTGCAGCTCTAATTAAATGAATTAGGTATGCGCAGGTACAAGGCTGGAGCTTGTGTGTGTGGGACATACTGATTCTGCAGCTCTTCTCAAAGCTGTCCTCCGGCTGAACAGTGCTGTTGAACATGGACTCCTGGAGGAGGGTGGGAGCCTGAAACATGTCCATGATCACACCTACAGAACAACACACATCAAGCACAGCATCCACACGTAAACACAGCATGAACTCAGAGTGTGTGTGTGCGCTCTTACCCAAAGCCTCACGCGTGTTGACAGTGGGGGAAGGGAGAGCACGGGACGGTGTGGCATGAGCGTAACCCAGAGATGTGTTTGGAGTGACATGAGAGTGATTGAACCCGCCACATGACACTAAGAGAGAGAGCGAGAGAGCGAGAGAGAGAGAGAGAGAGAGAGAGAGAGAGTGAGTGCACATACAGCAGCTGTACGGAGCAGTGTGCACATGAGGAGATATACTCACTGTCTGCGTTTGCATCCACATCACCCTGATCACACGAGTCACTACAGACAGAGAAACACACGTTACAATGACTTCTGTGCATCAAATAATCATGACTACCATCACAACAGCTTGTGCTTCAGTCTCATCTTTGCCAAGCATTCTTACTCTTTCACATGAAGTGCATTCAGCTTCGGTCCAGAAACAAACATGTCAAAACGTTTACTAATATTTCAGCACATTTGGTGGTTTTATGCTTCACATGAGCACTTGAGAACTCAGAGCTCATACAGCGTGTCAAACAGGTGAAGCACATCAGAAAGTGATCGCAATGATGACTAAAATAATCGCTTTGAAAGATTTGTTATAGGAATATTTCAAATGCTATACGCAGCACAAGTAATGATGTTCATGATGTTCACAGTAACTAACAGGATAAGAAACAAGAAACAAACTCATCCTAATCTTTGATGGCCTGAAGGTGAGCACATTTTCATCGCCCCTGAGCAAACGCAGCGGTCTCGGGACAGATGATGATGTTGTGTGGCTGACACTCACGTCTCTCTGGTGTCGGGGACAGCGCAGCAGCTGCTCTGGATCAGGGATGTGCTGGGATCCCGCAGCACTGCTGTGCTCTCTATCTGTCCCAGCAGACTCTCTCTAGATCCACTCACGCTCTCGGGTCGAGAGCCGCAGGCTGCACTGGGTAACGGAGCGGTCAGTGGATGGCTTGTTTCTGCCACATGTTCACAGTAACTAACAGGATAAGAAACAAGAAACAAACTCATCCTAATCTTTGATGGCCTGAAGGTGAGCACATTTTCATCGCCCCTGAGCAAACGCAGCGGTCTCGGGACAGATGATGATGTTGTGTGGCTGACACTCACGTCTCTCTGGTGTCAGGGACAGCGCAGCAGCTGCTCTGGATCAGGGATGTGCTGGGATCCCGCAGCACTGCTGTGCTCTCTATCTGTCCCAGCAGACTCTCTCTAGCTCCACTCACGCTCTCGGGTCGAGAGCCGCAGGCTGCACTGGGTAACGGAGCGGTCAGTGGATGGCTTGTTTCTGCCACACTGCTGTTCCACTTCCCAGCATGCCCTGCGGAGTGCTCCGTCTGAAGCTGCAGGCCTGTCTGAGGCCTGGAGGACCACACTGACTCAGGGGCTTCAACTCTGTGGAACGCCGCTCCCTGCAAATCAACAATGAAAGTGTAAGAACTTATTCACTCTTTGAAACGACTTCTGCTAATGAAACCTAGAGCTACGCGTGTGGAGGAAAAATGAATCAAGTCAACTTAATTTGTATATAAATACAGGGATGAATATAAGTTTACAGGCTGGTTCTCGAGAGCACTTGGAGATTTGGTTTGGTGCTCACACTGCTCAGTGTGACCCATTAAAAATAACCATAAAAAAACTAAACAGTAATTGTAGTATTATTACAATTTTATTTTAAATAAAATTACATTTTGAAATCCAAAAAAATATAATGCTAATATTTATTTTCTTTTATTTCTTTACTTTTTTTATATGATTTTTTCATTTTCAAACCTAAAATCAGCAAGCTTTTATTTTGGTGGGTTGGTGGCAAGTACAGACAACAGTGCAATATTGGCAGCCTTCGTAAACAGAAGCAAAGATGGCTGTGAAATTAAATCTGCATCATTTATCTTTTTTTCTCCTATAATGCCTGAAGAGTTTGGAGAACACCTGACGAGAGATCGGAGAGCATTCCTTCATCCAGAATCTCTCCAGACCCTTCAGATTCCCAGCTCCTTCTCTTCAGTTCACCTCACTCATTTTCTACAGGGTTCAGGTCATGGCAGAAGCTTCATTTTGTGCTCCGTGACACATTTTTGTGTTGATTTTGAAGTTTGTTTTGGATCATTGTCCTGATGGAAGATCCAACCACAGTCTTATAAGATTTCTAACAGAGGCAGTCATGATATTTAAGACTTTCTGACCCCAAGACTCAACTAATCTCTGCAATTCTCCAGCTATGATGAGTCTTTGGCCACTCAAACAAGTTCTGCACACATGTGATGGATGATTAAGGGAACTTAGCCTTTGTGTTCCTCATATTTATAATCCTGTGGAACAGGAACTCATGCAAGAGCACTTGGAGATTTGGTTTGGTGCTCACACTGCTCAGTGTGACCCATTAAAAATAACCATAAAAAAACCTAAACAGTAATTGTAGTATTATTACAATTTTATTTTAAATAAAATTACATTTTGAAATCCAAAAAAATATAATGCTAATATTTATTTTCTTTTATTTCTTTACTTTTTTAATATGATTTTTTCATTTTCAAACCTAAAATCAGCAAGCTTTTATTTTGGTGGGTTGGTGGCAAGTACAGACAACAGTGCAATATTGGCAGCCTTGGTAAACAGAAGCAAAGATGGCTGTGAAATTAAATCTGCATCGTTTATCTTTTTTTCTCTTATAATGCCTGAAGAGTTTGGAGAACACCTGACGAGAGATCGGAGAGCATTCCTTCATCCAGAATCTCTCCAGATCCTTCAGATTCCCAGCTCCTTCTCTTCAGTTCACCTCACTCATTTTCTACAGGGTTCAGGTCATGGCAGAAGCTTCATTTTGTGCTCCGTGACACATTTTTGTGTTGATTTTGAAGTTTGTTTTGGATCATTGTCCTGATGGAAGATCCAACCACAGTCTTATAAGATTTCTAACAGAGGCAGTCATGATATTTAAGACTTTCTGACCCCAAGACTCAACTAATCTCTGCAATTCTCCAGCTATGATGAGTCTTTGGCCACTCAAACAAGTTCTGCACACATGTGATGGATGATTAAGGGAACTTAGCCTTTGTGTTCCTCATATTTATAATCCTGTGGAACAGGAACTCATGCTCCTAGTCACCCTGGTGTGCTAAAACTAAATTATAAATACGAAAGGGAATATACTTCAGAAATATTACTCAATTGTGGCCAACACGCATTGGAGAAAAACACTTATTTCAATGTTTGTTTTACTTCAATGAAAGGATCGAATTTTGTGAATTTTTTGGAACGAAAGATCGAAAGGATAAACGATGCAGATTTATTTTCACAGGTACCTTTGCTCATATTTACCAAGGGTGCCAATATTAGTGGAGGGCACTGTATGCATATGCACTCAGTTTCAGCACTGCCGAGTGAAGAGCGTAAGTGAATGAAATGTCAGTTGTGCGTATTTGCTCTGAAACCCGCTGCGCATGGCCTAGATTTACACTTTCAGTTCTAATGGAAACCTTATACAGTATTAGTCAGTCGATCTAAAACAGTGATTGTGCATGAACAGCGGTCAACCATGTCGCGACGCAAATGAGCGTCTGAAGATATTTACCCAATGCATTTTTTATTTCGCCCACTTATGTGCATCCCTGTACATACACATCATAGCTGACTTTTCATGATCCAATCAATAACGTGATAACGTGTTTGTTCATTCTGACACCTTCAGCTCCTCTAATTCTCACAAATCTGTGTTTTTATAACAGTAAAAGCTCTTTTCATGTAGTCTCAATGTTACATTGAGTTATGTTTATCAATAAAAAACATATAGACCTGCTTTATAGGTATTTATATAGTACAGGCGTATGCTGAACTTTATTATACAGGCGCTGTATTAAGCGGTTCCTGTTCCTTCATGAAGACGCCTCTGATATGTCTGTGTATTTGACAAATATTGCATTTAATATTACATTAGTTGCCCACCTAAAAAGTGTCTATTTAACAATATTTCTGTTTACATCAATGAGCTTGGCTTTGTTTTTTTAATTGTTGTTGTGTTTGTCATTAAAAATAGTAATGGACAATAAACTAAGCATTCGTTTAAAGTAAGGGAGAAATCAAAGACCTTTCATTTTTTTGTGTGTATATACGGACATGACATGCAGGGGGGGGTGTCTGAGGCCTGGAGGACCACACTGACTCAGGGGCTTCAACTCTGTGGAACGCCGCTCCCTGCAAATCAACAATGAAAGTGTAAGAACTTATTCACTCTTTGAAACGACTTCTGCTAATGAAACCTAGAGCTACGCGTGTGGAGGAAAAATGAATCAAGTCAACTTAATTTGTATATAAATACAGGGATGAATATAAGTTTACAGGCTGGTTCTCGAGAGCACTTGGAGATTTGGTTTGGTGCTCACACTGCTCAGTGTGACCCATTAAAAATAACCATAAAAAAACTAAACAGTAATTGTAGTATTATTACAATTTTATTTTAAATAAAATTACATTTTGAAATCCAAAAAAATATAATGCTAATATTTATTTTCTTTTATTTCTTTACTTTTTTTATATGATTTTTTCATTTTCAAACCTAAAATCAGCAAGCTTTTATTTTGGTGGGTTGGTGGCAAGTACAGACAACAGTGCAATATTGGCAGCCTTCGTAAACAGAAGCAAAGATGGCTGTGAAATTAAATCTGCATCATTTATCTTTTTTTCTCCTATAATGCCTGAAGAGTTTGGAGAACACCTGACGAGAGATCGGAGAGCATTCCTTCATCCAGAATCTCTCCAGATCCTTCAGATTCCCAGCTCCTTCTCTTCAGTTCACCTCACTCATTTTCTACAGGGTTCAGGTCATGGCAGAAGCTTCATTTTGTGCTCCGTGACACATTTTTGTGTTGATTTTGAAGTTTGTTTTGGATCATTGTCCTGATGGAAGATCCAACCACAGTCTTATAAGATTTCTAACAGAGGCAGTCATGATATTTAAGACTTTCTGACCCCAAGACTCAACTAATCTCTGCAATTCTCCAGCTATGATGAGTCTTTGGCCACTCAAACAAGTTCTGCACACATGTGATGGATGATTAAGGGAACTTAGCCTTTGTGTTCCTCATATTTATAATCCTGTGGAACAGGAACTCATGCTCCTAGTCACCCTGGTGTGCTAAAACTAAATTATAAATACGAAAGGGAATATACTTCAGAAATATTACTCAATTGTGGCCAACTCGCATTGGAGAAAAACACTTATTTCATGTGAGTTTGTTTTACTTCAATGAAAGGATCGAATTTTGTGAATTTTTTGGAACGAAAGATCGAAAGGATAAACGATGCAGATTTATTTTCACAGGTACCTTTGCTCATATTTACCAAGGGTGCCAATATTAGTGGAGGGCACTGTATGCATATGCACTCAGTTTCAGCACTGCCGAGTGAAGAGCGTAAGTGAATGAAATGTCAGTTGTGCGTATTTGCTCTGAAACCCGCTGCGCATGGCCTAGATTTACACTTTCAGTTCTAATGGAAACCTTATACAGTATTAGTCACAGCTCATTCACACAGTACATGGACACACACTCCACGCTGTTACCGCCGCCTGTCCGGACCGGGTTATTCTCCGAGCGCGAGATTCTGAGATTGGGGATCATTTACAACACTATCGTCATCACGACCACTGCACAATCCTCTGCTGAATCTTACACTGAACAGAGAGTGCAGGGGTTTGACAGGAACTACTGAACATGAAGCCCGTGTCATAAACACTTACATTCGCACCATTCTAGGAGCAGGAGAGGGCTCTTCTGGATCCTGCAACAGAAAATAAAAACTCACGCTTAGTGAAACACTGAGGTTAAAATGTAAAAGTTTTAAGAAGGATGGAAAACAAGTCTAATAAAATAAGCAGATGCGACTTGTGCTGCATATTTTAAGTGTTCTGAAGGAATATCATTGACCGCAATCGCTGCTTCCTGAGCACGACTGCATAAAAAGGAAAAAGCACACTACAGCATCATATTAAAGGGGTCATATGATGCTGCTAAAAAGAACATTATTTTGTGTAATGAAATGTTTATGCGGTTTAAAAAAAAAACAAAACAAAACAAAAAACACATTATTTTCCACATACTGTACATTATTGTTTCTCCTCTATGCCCCGGTAATCCACACATCAATTAACATCTGTGAAATTAAAAACTGTGTATAAGAAACAAATCCATCATCAGTCCATAATAACACTTCCTCCAGTGGACAAGTGCATCTCCTGGTGTCTCTCGCATCAACATCCAGCCACATATGTGTTTAGAGCAGTTTAAGCGGTGCTTGATCTGTGCAGATTTCTCTCCTGATTCACACCAGAACACTTCTTCACTGGAGGAAGCAATATTATGGATTATGGACTCAATGTATTTGAGTTAAAAATGTTTTAATGTTGTATTTGTTTCAGCTTTTGTCTTCTCCAGATGTTAACTGATGGACTGGAGTGCTGTGGATTATTGTGATGTTTTTATCAGCTGTTTGGACTCTCATTCTGACGGCACCCATTCACTGCAGAACATCCATTGCTGAGACACTGATGCAGTGCTACATTTCTACAAGCATGTGTTTGATCGGTGCATGTGTAGTGTAGGAAAGTCTTCTCACCCAGTTGGCGTTGTTCCTCCTGTTGCCTACATTTAGCAAAGTAGCGTCTGGCTCTGAGCTCCTCAAAAGACAGCTCCGATCCCTCACACAGCAGCTCATTCACACAGTACATGGACACACACTCCACGCTGTTACCGCCACCTGTCCGGACCGGGTTATTCTCCGAGCGCGAGATTCTGAGATTGGGGATCATTTACAACACTATCGTCATCACGACCACTGCACAATCCTCTGCTGAATCTTACACTGCACAGAGAGTGCAGGGGTTTGACAGGAACTACTGAACATGAAGCCCGTGTCATAAACACTTACATTCGCACCATTCTAGGAGCAGGAGAGGGCTCTTCTGGATCCTGCAACAGAAAATAAAAACTCACGCTTAGTGAAACACTGAGGTTCAAATGTAAAAGTTTTAAGAAGGATGGAAAACAAGTCTAATAAAATAAGCAGATGCGACTTGTGCTGCATATTTTAAGTGTTCTGAAGGAATATCATTGACCGCAATCGCTGCTTCCTGAGCACGACTGCATAAAAAGGAAAAAGCACACTACAGCATCATATTAAAGGGGTCATATGATGCTGCTAAAAAGAACATTATTTTGTGTAATGAAATGTTTATGCGGTTTAAAAAAAAACACATTATTTTCCACATACTGTACATTCATCGTGCTGCGTAAACATAAAACCATGTCTGCATTTGTGATCGGAGAAATGACAAACAACAAGTGCTACTCTACACTGCCCAAAACTCTCGTTTGAGTCATCAGTGAGTCATCAAATCCTTTAAATATGAAAACGTGCTTACAGTCTGTGAGTCAGCACAGCCAGCATTGTAGTCTACTCTCCCAGGATCAGGAGACAGTCCAGTTTCCCCAAGATGAAGTATCAAATGTTTTCTAGTGCAAATGTCTAAAGTCTCTCAAATCTAGATAAATTTACTTCAAGCATAATGACTAAATAAGACATCTTGTTTTATAAGAAACTGATCAAAAAAATGGAGTTAACAGTAAAACAAGAACCATCCATCTGGGCTCAGAAAAATCTACTTAAATCAAAGAAAAACAAGTTTTGATATTTCAATGACATTTATTCTTGTTTTGATCATCAATTTCTCAGGAAACAAGATTTCATATGTTCAGTTTGCATCTCAAGTAAATGTGTCTTGATTTAAGGATGTTTGTACTGGAAACAAGATACTGGCAGATATTTTTTCTTCAGTGCATGCATAACTTAATGCCATGACTTTATGGATTTAAGACCTTACTTTCTGGAAGGGCAAATTAAGACTTTAAGAGCTGCTTTTGCTTCAGCTAACTAACATCTTTTTCCCTTTTTTCCCCCCCATTCCCAGCCTAATATTCACCTCTTTTTGTTCCACAGACATCAGTCAGTCACACGGCTTTTGAACGACACGAGTAAATAGCAGACTTTTATCATAATGTTTGTGAATTCGAGACCTGCGGTAGTAGATGGGAACGGAGATGAGATCAGGGCTGTACCTTGCACTGTGCTTGAACAGCGTCTCTCTGTCTGGGGTTCTGGTTCACCAGCTGTGAGTTCTGAAGAGGCTGCCGCACATGATCTGAGTCAGTGGAGAGACAGCGGTGTACACGTTATACTCTCCTCGCTCACAGTATAACCACTGATGGACCTCAAGCACAAGTTACTCTACCTGATGCATCTGTCTGAGCACTCACGTCATCAAATCCTTTAAATATGAAAACGTACCTTCAGTCTGTGAGTCAGAACAGCCGGCATTGTAGTCTACTCTCCCAGGATCAAGAAACAGTCCAGTTTCCCCAAGATGAAGTATCAAATGTTTTCTAGTGCAAATGTCTAAAGTCTCTCAAATCTAGATAAATTTACTTCAAGCATAATGACTAATAAGACATCTTGTTTTATGAGAAACTGATCAAAAAAATGGAGTTAACAGTAAAACAAGAACCATCCATCTGGGCTCAGAAAAATCTACTTAAATCAAAGAAAAACAAGTTTTGATATTTCAATGACATTTATTCTTGTTTTGAGCATCAATTTCTCAGGAAACAAGATTTCATATGTTCAGTTTGCATCTCAAGTAAATGTGTCTTGATTTAAGGATGTTTGTACTGGAAACAAGATACTGGCAGATTTTTTTTCTTCAGTGCATGCATAACTTAATGCCATGACTTTATGGATTTAAGACCTTACTTTCTGGAAGGGCAAATTAAGACTTTAAGAGCTGCTTTTGCTTCAGCTAACTAACATCTTTTTCCCTTTTTTCCCCCCATTCCCAGCCTAATATTCACCTCTTTTTGTTCCACAGACATCAGTCAGTCACACGGCTTTGGAACAACACGAGTAAATAGCAGACTTTTATCATAATGTTTGTGAATTCGAGACCTGCGGTAGTAGATGGGAACGGAGATGAGATCAGGGCTGTACCTTGCACTGTGCTTGAACAGCGTCTCTCTGTCTGGGGTTCTGGTTCACCAGCTGTGAGTTCTGAAGAGGCTGCCGCACATGATCTGAGTCAGTGGAGAGACAGCGGTGTACACGTTATACTCTCCTCGCTCACAGTATAACCACTGATGGACCTCAAGCACAAGTTACTCTACCTGATGCATCTGTCTGAGCACTCACAGACATCCGGCCCTGGAGGAGCCTGCACACACAACAAGACATTTGGAGGGGCTCACTATTTTGACTGAAAGATGCATGCATTAGCAGAGCATTAAAGGGACAGCTCAGCCTTAAGTTGTTCCAAACCTGTATGAGCTTTTGTCGAGCACAAAAGAAGAGATTTTGAAGAATGTGGGTAACTGAACAGCTTCCGAAATATCTTCTTTTGTGAAACTCGTACAGGTTTGGAACAAATCGAGGGTGAGTAAAAGAAGACGATATTAATTTTGGCTGAACTGTCCCTAGGCTGAAGGTCATCTGGGCTGTGATCGGGCCGTTCTGGTTCACTCACCTGTACTGCTGCAGCACACTGTCCTGTGGCTGAGCCTTGCTCTCCAGAGCTCTCTGGTACACCATCTCAGCCTGGGACAGCTGGCCTTTCTCCTCGTACTGACGGGCCCAGTCTATATAGAGCGCCGCCGTCTGCGTCCCCACGCCCTGGCTGTGCAGATAGCTGTACACCTCGATGGGATCGCTGCAGAAATTCGCCTGCACAGAGTGAAAGCACGGTGTTCATCTCCAAGAGCAAGTCTCTATCTTCTACAGAGTGACTGTGAGCGTATGAGTGAACCTACACATCTGAGGCAGTGAGTGATGTACCGCGGGTCGTTGTGGTATCGCTCCTCCTGAAGGAAGGTCTGCACCAGGCGCTCCAGCACCACAGATATACCCTTCCTCTCTTCCAGCGGCAGCTTGCTCTCCAGAAACTGCACAAACCTGACACAGCACAAACCACGAGACAGTGTTGGGGAAACTTACTTTTAAAAGTAATGCATTACAATATTGCGTTACTCCATAAAAAAGTAACTAATTATGTTACTTTTTAAATCTGGACAGGGCTTGCTTGTTTGTTTTTAAAATAAAAAAAGTTATATTTCTGGCAAATATAAAAGCCTTTTCACACCAAAAGTGAAATGAATAAGCCTCAGGCTGAAGGGCAAGTAAATTTACGTCCCTACAGTACAGGGGCGTAGATTACGCGGGGGATGCGGGGGACGTGTCCCCCCACTTTTAATATCACGTAAATTCGTCCCCTGCACTTTTTCGGGCAAGTGTGTTCACAGAGGTTTTCAAGAGCCGGTGTGAATAAATATATATTTAAATTCAAAGAGACAGGATAGTCTGTGCATGATCTGATGTTTTATTCGGACCCAGAATAAGGCGAGATGAACATCGCGGAGCGCTAAACACTCGTGTAGTGTGTGTTTCATTCATACTCGAAGCCAGAGGTGCTCTCGTGCAGAAAGTCGTACGAGGAAATTCCTAATATGGACAAAAGCGTCCAGCTATCGCTGTATGAAAAGTTTTCAGAAAAACAGAAACGTTTGGAAACATGAAGACTTTAAACATACGATTGGTTTATTTGTGTTTGTCAAGTCATCTCCAGGTAATAAATAAAGTATATGAACAATGCAGTGCTAGCTGACATAGCATTACAGTATGGAAACTATTCTGCCTTATGTGATAAAAAAAAAGTGTTTGTAGTATATAAGCAAATCATTATTATTGGTTACTCTCAAGCAGTTATCTGATTTCTAAGCCAAATAAAAGCTAGAAATTAGAGAACAATTAAAGTTGACTATACACCAGTCAAAAGTTTTTAAACCGTAAGATTGTTCATGTTTTTTAAAAGAAGTATCTTCTGTTCACCAAGCCTGCATTTATTTGATTCAAAGTACAGCAAAACAGTAATGTTGTGAAATATTTTCACTAGGCTATTTCAAACAACTGTTTTCTATTTGAATATATTTAAAAATGTAATTTATTGTGATTTCAAAGCTAATTTTCAGCATCATTACTCCAGTCACACGATCCTTCAGAAATCATTCTGATTTGCTGCTCAAAAAACATTAATAATAACAATAATTAAAAAATGTTTCTCGAGCGGCAGATCAGCATATTATACTGATTTCTGAAGATCATGTGACACTGAAGACTGGAGGAATGATGCTGAAAATACAGCTGCGCATCACAGAAATACATTACAGTTTAACAGAGATTCACATAGACAACAGCTGTTTTAAACCGTAATAATATTTCACAACATTACTGCTTTTGCTGTACTTTGGATCAAATAAATGCAGGCTTGGTGAGCAGAAGAGACTTCAGTTCAAAAACTGTTGACTGGTAGGTTATATAGATTACAGAAATGTTATATTGTAATGTTTTATATATATATAACATTTCTGC